CCCCCCCGTTGAGGACTAGACTACGGACTACAGCTCCGGTTTACGTGGGCAACACCCTTTGTATCCCCAGCCGCCACGCCAACGGCGGAATCGCCGGAGATGCAAGAGGTTGACCTCGAACGGCGGCACAGAAAGGCAGACTCTGGCAACACAGACGGGAAACCGATATTCATATTGTTGCAAGATTACTTGCTCAGTAGAAGAGGGGCACATGTTTCCTAGAGTGGGCTGACGGCAGCACGACCTATGAACCGAAAAGGAACATCCTCGATCGGCCCATGGTTGACGACTTCGAGGTCACATATCGAGGTTTCAATACGGGTATTGATGTTTATGCTTCATGGGCCCGGAAGGGCTGGCAACGGTGGGTTGTGCATTGGCATAGCCGCCCTGTTCTGGAAGATGTCTGGGTTGGTGAAAAATTGATGGATCCGGCACGAGTGGCAAAGGTCCAGGCGTCTGGGTTCCATAGCCCTAGTGCGTAATGCACCGCTCCATTGATATCTCTAACAGAAAAGAAGGTAATACATGCTCATAAAGGAACCATAATGCTCGTAGATAGTGCGGGAGCATAACCTCTAAGTCTTGCCAATGACGGCGAGTATTGGTGAGAGAATGGTACCTAAATTGACTCAATGGGGCACATCAAGATATGCAGTGGCAATCGAAAAACATGTTACTATCATGAAATGGACTTTCCAATAGCGGAAACCTCAAAAGATGCTGCCTATTCCAATCCCGCGCAACCTACACTCCTTATCGAGAATTCCTATTCCGAGTCGTTCATACCCGTCCTGTGAGGTCCTGGGTCCGACAAACATTACGAAATATCGGATGTCATTCCTATCCGTATGCCTCGCGAGGATAGCCACGTTTGGTACTGGGGAAAACGCAGTTTCCTCATCGAAGCTAATTGATCCCCTCTCTCCATTCGAGTCCTTGAGCCGATATGGATACTTCTCACCTCCGCTTTCCTTTTTAGAAATGTTTATACCAAGGTTCGTTATCTCCCAGATCGTGGTATTCAAAGCCCCTCCGTGGACCTCAATTTTTTTTAATACATCTAGGGATTTGTAATCGAGGTGGCTCGTGCAGAATTCGATGGGCCCAGGGTATGCCAACCAGGACCATGATGGCACGCTTTGTAGCTCATAGCGGATTTTCTCTGTCGTCTGTCCATTGCTTCTGTTCCAGAGGAGAGTTCTGTGAAGATACCATGCAAAAACGCCATGATAGATCGAACACGGTAAGGCCCGCTCGATGCGAGTCAGTAGCCCAGAGATAGCGATCGCTCTGTCCGATGACTTTGTAATGTCACACTGCGAGTAACCCTCGAGCATAGATAGAAGGAACTTCAAAGTGGCAGCGAAACCAGAGCCTCGAAGTCGGTCCGGGAACTGGGGGTCAAGTCGGAAAAATTTATTCGTCTCCTCATTACTACAAGTAAATCAATTATTAGCAAAGCATGACGAAGGACGCCTTGTACCGCAGGTTATTCTTACCATTGTAGGAAGATATTATCTCCTACACATACGCCCTCTCCACATTCCGCATAAATTTCTGAATGGGTGAAGTGAATTGTCCGTGGCGAGAGATATCTTTCTTGCATGACCCACGCCCTCTTGCTTAGCCCGCCCTGATTGACATCTTTTTCGAAATCTGCCATATTTGTTGAGATGACTATGGGCTGTCCTTGTTCATCTTGAAGAAGGAGGTTTTCGTGAGGCACTATCCCTGCAAGGAAGCCAGCACTTGAATCAAGACCGGAAGTTGCCGCTATTGTGCAGTATGCTGAAGCATAAACAGCATGCATCCGCTCTGATTCTTGTTTCCAATCATCAGAGTTGTCCTGAATGATGCAAAGTGAATCGATCCAGAGATACTTTATACCAAGCTCTCGCGTCACCTCGATGGCATCTTGAAAGGTCTTTGGCAACTCGTCGAGCTTGAATCCTTTCATACGTCGTTCTAGGATGTTTTCTTGTAGCGTACGCCACGGAGGCTCCTTGAATTCGCCCCATCTGTGGGATAAAGCGAGATATCGATATTTGTCTGCCTTCATCCGGTCTGCCTTCTTCCGGTCTGCCTCTTCCACGACATGCAGGCGTATACTGCTCGGATCATCCGACGGTTTGACATCAAGAAGTCGGGTCGGCAGTCTCAGGTATTCATTGTTACGTCTCCGCATACAATTGTGGCCTTTGTCGCACTTCTGGAGCCACGTACGTAATTGTATAAAGAGTGAATGCTTAGAACTGTTAGTTGTAGTAAAGCGTTCGTTGGGGACTGATAACATTAATTAGCAAAGGGCAAGAAAAGTGGCAGGAGAAAGGACTTCCGAAAGTATATTCGCAAAATGGCAGGTCCACTAGGCTGTAGAGTTATGGCAGATTCGATGTTCTCAAGAATAGCCGAATCAGAGTTGTGAAGCGTCCTCACTTTGTTGGACAGCATAAGACAAAAGGGACATTTTGTGGCATTTTGGAGACGTTGGACCTCGACAGCATGCCTAGGGGAGAGAAGTGGTTTGCATAGAGTACATGGCTCAGTTGGCTGCGAGGCGACATCATCCGAGGCAAATGCGCCATCGTGTTCGTAAATCCATGTATCGTTCTGTAAAAGGTTAGGCATGTAATATGACAGAAGCAGACGTTATGAAGGCAGTGTTTTAGAGATAAAAATAATAATTAGGGTGCGTCTGGCTGCCACTTACAAGCTATTCCGCCACACAGTCGCCCGTCAGTCCATAGTCCACTCAGGATCATATGGCTGTCACTTACTCGCTATTCCGCCATACAGTCGCCCGTTAGTCCATAGTCCACTCAGGATCATCTAGCTGTTACTTACAGCCTATTCCGCCATACAGTCGCCCGTCAGTCTATACAACACCTCGGGATCATCTGGCTATTACTTACTCGCTATTCCGCCATACAGTCGCCCGTCAGTCTATAGTCCACTCGGGATCATCTGGCTGTTACTTACATCCTATTCCGCCACACAGTCGCCTATTAGTCCATAGTACACTCGGGATCGTCTGGCTGTCACTTACTCGCTATTCCGCCATACAGTCGCCCGTTAGCCGCCCATTAGTCCATACCACACCTCGGGATCATCTGGCTGTCACTTACAACCTATTCCGCCATACAGTCGCCCGTTAGCCGCCCATTAGTCCATACCACACCTCGGGATCGTCTGGCTGTCACTTGCATACTATTCCGCCATACCGTCGGCCATCAGTCCATACTACACCTCGGGATCGTCTGGCTGTCACTTACTCGCTATTCCACCACACAGTCGCCCGTTAGCCGCCCATTAGTCCATACCACACCTCGGGATCATCTAGCTGTCACTTACAAGCTATTCCGCCATACCGTCGCCCGTCAGTCCATACTACACCTCGGGATCATCTGGCTGTCACTTACAGCCTATTCCGCCACACAGTCGCCCGTTAGTCCATAGTCCACTCAGGATCATCTGGCTGTTACTTACATCCTATTCCGCCGTACAGTCGCCCGTCAGTCCATACTACACCTCGGGATCATCTGGCTGTCACTTACAGACTATTCCGCCACACAGTCGCCCGTCAGTCCATAGTCCACTCAGGATCATCTAGCTGTTACTTACAGCCTATTCCGCCACACAGTCGCCCGTTAGCCGCCCATTAGTCCATACTACACCTCGGGATCATCTGGCTGTCACTTACAAGCTATTCCGCCACACAGTCGCCCGTCAGTCCATAGTCCACTCGGGATCATCTGGCTGTCACTTACTCGCTATTCCGCCACACAGTCGCCCGTCAGTCCATAGTCCACTCAGGATCATCTGGCTGTTACTTACAGCCTATTCCGCCACACAGTCGCCCGTTAGCCGCCCATTAGTCCATACTACACCTCGGGATCATCTG